ATCGATACAGTGACACTTTTGGTTTGGATACAATATGATTGAACACAATAAAGAACTTTGAAATTCACCTTGTAATCTTAGCATGAGATTAGGTTGAATCTTTGCAAGATATGAAATTTCAAAAGCTGCAACTAAGTCTTACTGTATGTTGAGGTAAATATTAGATAACAAGTAAATGATATCAAACTTTACAAGTATTACTATATTCTGGTGGAAACTGTTGGCGAATCAATATGCCATCTTATATTATTATGTTACAATTATCTGTCGCATAACTGACAGTAAGTAAATCTAAGTATAGAAACTAAATATGCGTTTTTTCGTTTTACCTAATAACAAAACGACTTCCTTAACGCTCCTTCATTGTTTATCAATTTTTGTGTTACTTTCGATATTTCAGTTAATATTCCGATTACATCCTCTAGTAAAAACCAAAGTACAAAACAAAAAGTTTATGCGTTGAACTTCTCAATCACTTTTGATAACATCAGTTTGTTAAATCTTTATATTGCATCTACGCTATCATTTGATTTAAATTGACAAATTATATTATTGCATTTCATCAAACTGCTCGGATATCTGTACAATTTCTTTGATTGTATCTGTTAAAAAATTTCAGTAAAAATCATCAGATCGAATGAATAATTTCAGTTTATTTCAGATGTCAAATAAAAATGACTAATTAGTACAAATAGAAATAATTGATTGATCAATTAAAGCAGGAAAATCCCAATATACAATCTTCTCAACAGCTTAAAAAAGAGAAATGAGAATAAAATAATAACTGCAACTAGTAACAACAAAGTAAGCGAAATATGATACGAATGCCATCAATGCAACGAGGAGGAATTCATATGTCACAGCAATCTGAGAAGATACAAACACGTGGATACACGTAGATACTAGACTATTCAAATATGATGAATATTAGTTCGAAAATCACAGAGATCTGAGTTTACACAAAAAGATACAGACGAATGTAAAACAATTTGATTGTGATCAATATGGCAGAAAATTCAATCATAATTCTATTTAGAAGTACACAAAAAGAAGCATAAAAATCTTGCTGAAGAGTCATATTCCACGGTTGCTCATTAATTACGACACATATCAAAAGAGATAATGATAAAAACTATAACATACGAATGAATTTAACTGCATGTAGAGGAAGATATTAACAAGATCAAAAGCTGTATCGATAAGCTATAAATAGATAAGCTGATAATAAATTATGTTGGATTATTTTGGATTACGGATTACGTTGGATTTTGGATTACGTTGGATAACTTATAGGTCAAGTATCATAGAATTATCACCATTTTGATATCTATTACAAGTGATAAGTCATTTTAACGTTTCTGGTATATTCGTGTCAAATTTATTTCATTTTTTCGACAAATTCTACCCAAAATTTTCATCAATTATTTTAATTCATTTTAACTGTAATCTATTCGTTATAATATTCATTCATCGATCATCGTATTTCTCATCTACACATTCTTATTGAAAATTAATTTTCAATAGTTTGCAAATTTCTATCAGACATACACATCCTATTGAGATTTTAAATAACAATGATATTATCTAACTGTTAAAAAAAATTTTAACAGCCATATAGCCATTACATAAACATTAAAGATTTAATAGTTTTAAAATTGACTTATAATTTATATATATATAATTATCATAATATATATATATATAATTATCATTATCATACCATTGAAGTATACAATATCTAACTATAAAAAAAATTTGATTAAATTCTTTATAAAAATTTTATATAAAATTTTATATGAAGAAATTTTTCAATATAAATGGGAATTTTTGATAAACAAAAATAATCTTTTTCAAATATTTCTTCCTTTTTTGGTTTATTATTACTAATTTTGAATTAATTTTACTTTTCTTTTAAATTTTTGATTTTCACTTTTGAGTGATATTTTGTTAAAATATTTAAAAATTTATATTTAAATATATTTGTGTAATAAAATTTCGTCTAAAACTCTTCGATATTGCTATTCCTTTCTTTGTAGTAAATTGGAAAAAATATTTTTTAAAAATATATTTAATGGAAAAGTTTCTATTAAATAAATTTCAAAGAATTATTACTAACAATAAAATTAATGTAATAATTAATAAATTCGAAAAAAGTAAATGATAATAGTCATAATGATATGATTATTGATAGAAATGCTATTAATTATAGTAATAATTAACAGTAAATACTAATAGCAAAAATCAATAACATAATAAAAAGTAATAATTGGGAATACAGCTGCAACAGTCAAAATGCGGGAAATTAATCGAAATTTTGTTATGTTATTGGGAGAAATGGTCTGAGAGGATTTGTTTGAATGGTATTGGAATAAATGAATTATTCAGGTGGAAGTTTCTTTGAGTAGTACTGATATGTATTGCGGATGTGTTGTAATCACCGAAGTTATTCAGAAATTTTAAATGATATATTTTTGGATTATAAGATCGATCATTTGAGAACTTTTGTTTTATTCACTAATGATAACGGTCTAATCATAATGCGGTTGATTAATTTAAAAGGGAGAGGGAGAGAGCTGCTAGTGGAAAAAACTTTTTCTCTACTGTTAGACCGTTAGAGTAATTTAATTTAAATTAAGGAAAGATGAGTATTGAATCATTGTGCTTTGTAGGCTCGGTCTACTGATACTGGTGTCTAAGATTTCTTCTGAAGAGTAGGCTTTTTTTACTTTGAGAAATTGTGGTTCCTGGATAGCTCACTATTCGGTTAATATTTCTAAAATATGATTCTTTCTCGGGAATTAGTTTTAATTGTTGTTCTTGAGATTTCATCGACCCTTCAAGTACTAATATTAACTGTTATTTCACGAGTTTTTATAAATTTTTTTGACTGGAATTTCACGAGTTTTTATAAAACCGGTGATGCCCTTGGAGCAGTCATCCATATTCATCACTTGTACTTTTAAAGAGAGATAAGATTATGGAAGCTGATGTCGTGGAAGATAGCATTAAAGTGATCGTCAGGATGCGACCTCCTATCGCAAGGTTTCTCAATTATTTATTTGTAAATCTTACTTGCCATTCAATAGCTCAATTATAATTGAAAATTTTTTTCTTTGGATATTGTTAGGGATCCTTGTGCTGAAATTCAGTAAATAAGTAGATTTGTAAGTAGATTTAAAATTAGAGATCCTTAAAATGAGAGAAAATACTTCTAAATTTTTCTAGATAGGATTTACTTCTTTATTTTGGGGAAAAGTGATCAGTATCACATGAAGCATCTTAGACGACATCACATGCATTCATCTTACAGGGAATCATCAGCTGAAATATACTGGAAAGTTATCGATAATAATACTATTGTTGACGGAGATGAGAAAAGTTACATGTTTGGTAAACCGTTTCTATTTGAAATTAAAAATTAATTTAGAGAATTCTTATGAGTGGGAAGTTCCCAGTCATGGTTTTAGACATAGTTATAGCTGGTAGTATAGAGCAAGTTATATTGCTGACCTGCTTGAATGGATTTCTTTCTTGAAAAAAAATAGGCGCTCAAAGGAAAATTTATTCAATCACAAGCCATTTCGGATATTTCTATACCTAAGCCAGATTAGAAATCGGAAAGATTTTAATCATGATTTCCAGATCAAGTATACCGTGATGTTGATCGAACACAGGACGTCTATGATAAATCAGCGAAGGATGTAGTAGAATCGGCTATGGCCGGTTATAATGGGACTTTATTTGCTTATGGACAAACTGCATCTGGTAAAACATATACCATGTTTGGTACGGATAATGCAGAAGGCATTGTTCAAATGGCACTGGATACAATTTTTGCAAAAATTTTAGAAGTAAGTTTTGGACTAAACATAAACGAAACAAATGTAGTATTTAACAAAACGATGGCAGATCGAAGGCGCTATTTTGTCCTTTCAAAAAAATGCAGTTGATAGAGTTGCTGTAAAATTAAAATGCTAAACATGGTTTCAACCGAAAAACTCACAGCAAGTTTTGTGAAGGTCTAGTTTTAGGCAAATATAACACTTTTTCCTTTTTTTAATGTGTAAAAAGATATTCGATCACAACGAATCTACATTTTTTTAATAAAGAATATGAAAACAAAAATTGAAAATTCAGGGAAACGGTAAACGGTACATGTTACGCATATCGTGCATTGAAATTTATAACGAAAAAGTGCGAGATTTGTTGTCTGATTCAGTCGCTGATTTACCGGTAAAAGAATTCAAAGAGAAAACCATAGTGGATGGTCTGCGAGAAGAGGTTATTGTTTGCAAAGATGGTGTTGCAATGTTAATCCAACGAGCATTTGGTATCATTTCTTTAACTTTTTAAACAAATTGAACTGAAAAACTCGAAATTACTATATAAATAGTCCAGAACTGTTTTTCTTCCTGTTTTACTTCTTCCTGTTTTTCTCATTGACAAAATTTTTTTTTAAAGAAAAGATCGAAAATATTAAATATGTGAGCAAAAGAGGCAATGATAACTTCTGAAGTAAACAGTTCAAGCTTTTATTCTGTGTGTGTTAACAGGAACGCAGAGATGTTTTTCGTTTTTTGTTAACCTCTTCTGAAAATTTGTTATGTATAGCAATAATGTTTTGAGTATTTCGAAGTAATTTAAGTTCGCTATTTAGAATCTTGAAGGTCTTAATTATTCTAGCAAATCGTGTAATTGGTGAAACTGCTCTTAACGAGCGTTCATCACGATCACATGTTATTCTTCGCTTTGTAATCGAATGCTACGACGATGCTGTTGCTTCGGATTCCTCTTCCTATATTTCATTTTTGGTAAATTCACATTGGTTGTTCAATGTACTGATAGTGTGATAAAACTTTGAAATTTTACAAATTGTGCTCTGGATCTGACAAATTTCAGAATGTGGTAGATTTAGCCGGTAGTGAAAGTGCGAAACAATCGGGAGGGGACGGTGATCGTTTAAAAGAAAGTGGCAAAATTAACACCAGTCTATTGGCTTTACAAAAAGTTATAAATCAATTAAGTGAAAAAGGGTAAGTGGTACTGTTCAGCAAATGAGATCATAAAGGATCATTTTCTTTTATTAAATCATAAAAATAAAAGAAATAAAAAATAATTCCTTTCGTGTGAATCTAGAAATTAAAAAACATGCGACCACAGGCATCTTTTTGAAAGGAGCAAATTTTTTTAGTTTGTTTTTTTTTGCAGTCATAATCAGTTTAGGAATGGTCATGTCAATTTTCGTGATTCAAAGTTAACGCGTCTATTGAAGAGTTCATTGGGTGGTAATGCACGAACATTAATAATCTGCACTGCTTCACCTACCGAGGTTACGCAAACCTTACAAACACTCAGGGTTAGTTTAAATTTAACGGTTGATGAGAGTTCCATTTTAGGCAATTTTTTTCGGAAATGTTTTTCAAAAAAGACTTGCATTATAGTTTGCTGCACGTGCAAAGAAGATCAAGAATAAACCACGAAAGAATTGGAATGCTGAAGGGATGTTAACGCAATATATTCAAACCATTGAACGTTTGAAGGCAGAATTAGAAGTTTGAAATACCACTTTTTCTTCTACAGTAATTGCCGAATTTCCTCAATTCAGAGTTTAATCCTGAGTTTGTCCCAACTTAAATGACTATTCCCTCTTACTGCTGCTTCAAATAGCCCCAAACAATTTCTTAATAGCTTTTTAGGAAAATCGGAAAAACGAAACTGTAGAGCTTGAATTAATGAACAAAAATATCGAATTAAGCAAGGAAGTCGAGCGTTTAAGAAAATGTATTCTTTCGAGTCGAATGCTTCCACAATCCACTCAAGTACGTTATTATTACATACGGTTCGAATATCAACGGGCAAGTTTTGAATATAAGTTTTTGGATTTAGGATTTTTGGCATTTTGAAAATTCAAATTTCAACTTTAGAAACTTAGCGATCGTCGTGCTCGAAGGCAAACGTGGGGTGGTAACTGGGCTCATCCAGGTACAGACATGCTTCTTCCATATAACAATTCGGATCCCCGCGTGCAGTTGTATGAGGTAAATCCTCGAAATAATTTATGTCGTTTATGTGGAAAGAATAAATTTAAACTTTAAAGGCTAGTTTAAACTTCAGAATCCTGTTGCGGAGGGGTCAAAAGTTAGTGCTATTGATGAAGTATCAGAACAACCAAATGCGATGGCCCTTTACGATACATCAGTGGTCGCATTTACGACTTTACGGGTAAGCTTTTGATTTTTTCCTATCTTTATTTAAATTCAAAACAAACTCACATTCAGCTTATTGTTCTAAAAATTGAGTTGTATTCAGCTCGATGGTGATGAAGCAGACACTGCGACTGATTTTCAAGCATCAGATCAGAGTAGCAATCAAGTAAGCGAAACTGCATCTACGGTTATCAAAACAGCTGACGATACCGAAGACCAACAATCATCTATGGCAAACTGCGTTGCTCAAGATGGGAAACTATCTACAGCAAATTCCTCATTAGCTGCCCAAAAAATGAGTGAGGATGAATCGCTAAGTCGCGGTGAAGAGGACATTGAAGAAGACTTGACACAGTCAAGTCCGTTAAATGAACTGTATGTTTTCTTATTCTTAATAGAATTTAACAACGGTATATGGGACGGTACCGCGAAACTTAACTATGATTTCAGTATAGAGAAAGTAAATGGTTTGGAATCTCTGACTGTTGAGCTGAAAGCAGAAAATGAGGTAAGGAATTGTTTTCTTTTTTTTTTTGTTCATCGTGATTTCATAGTTATGATTTTAAATTCCTTTTTTAATTTTTCCCCGTCTGATAAAATTTTTTTCAAAACTTCAGCATCTGAAGGAAAAATTACGCTGCAAAAACCGAAATATAAGCTGGCTGGAGAAGCAGTGCGATGATGCCGACAGCAATGAAACAGAATTAAGGGAGCAATTATATGAAATGCAAAAAATGAATGATAAAAATGTATGTCTTCATGAATGCGAAATGGCATTTATTTCTGTTAACAATTCAATTATTAGATCAAAAACAAAAGTTTTTCATCCGTATAAGATTTCATGTCTTCTCAAGATCAAATATTACATTATTTACGAGTAAAAGCAAAAGTTCAGAGATAAGAGTGAGATCAGCATTATGACGTTCTGTTGCGGTTTATGTCGACAGTTCTAAAACTGGATTTGTGAAAGCTGTAGTATATTTATCTTTCATACTCCGTTCTTGTTTTGGTTAAAACTAATGAAGTGAAGAGAAGCTATGGAACTGTCATTAGTTGGGGAGAGATGAGTAAGACAACTGGAACTTACGAGTAGACTATTTTTTGCAGCTATCGGTTATTACGGCACTTCGGAATGAGATTGTACAAATGAAGGATTCAATGAGAGCTTCTATTGATGCAAATATCGAAAATAAAGAAAATTTATTTCGTTTACAAAATGAGATTAACAAAAAGGAAAAAGAGTAAGTCCATGTTTTCGTTTGCAAGTTTTTTTAAACAAAATTTCGAGAAATTTCTCCATTGTTTCGTATATATATGATTATGTCGATGTAACTATGTACCAAGTTTACCTCGATCTCGATAGCGAATGCATACTTAATTGCTATATAACACATTTAAGATGTATGAAACACTTTAAGTTATTCTTGGTATATTTATAACTACCAATAATCGTGACTTACAGGATACGCGAAATGAAAGGAGATATTGCTCTAAAGGATCGAAAAATTAGCGGGTTATTACTGGAATTACGTCGGGTAACAAATAAACAGGAAAACAGTTAAGTCATTTAACACTTTACATTGATGGTTTGAAAATAGTGAACACCACATCACTAAATTTTATTTGCAAAAGAATAAGAATCTAAAAGGAAAGGAATAAGAAACAGAGAGTTTTCAATAGATTTCCAGGTCAAACTTGAAAAAATGACTTGAAATTTTGAATGCAACAGCGCAACCAAAAACGCGATGATTGTCTTGACTTTTTTTATCACGATGTTCTTTCTTTTTCTGTAAATTAGGTAGAGCACTGAAAAAAAAATGGGATTCATATTTTCTCTCAAACAGCTAAACCAGTTCTTTTCAGTAGCAGAAAAAGCACGCTTTCGAGAGGATGATAATAATTTATTTTCCAAGGAAATGAATTATGCTAACGCTCCAATGAAACGAACAAACCGATATGCGGTAGAAATAGATTCATCGCAGTCAACACCAGTAAAACATTATCCAGAATGCAAAACTCAGTGATGAATGATTCTTAATTTTATGTATTTATGGATTTATACAGAAAGGAATCGAAGCGGAAATGAAGAGAGAAAGGATGATGGAGAGAGAGATTTTTGTAGTATTGGAAAATTTAAAGCTTTTTTCCCAGAAAAAGTTTAGATTTAAAATGCCCTCAATATATTCTACCCTCGATATCTTGCTACCTACTTAAATGTATTAATACACGGTGAAAGGAAGAGATAACTAGCCTATGAAGTGTTAAATTCAGGAAAAAGGAATTTTTTTTTTGGAATTCAAAAAAATGACATCGGCGAAGCAAATATTTCTCCAAAATATTCCTTCTTTCAACATTCTTGGAATGTATAGTGCTAGTTGAATAAAATGTCTGTATATATATATAATAATTGATAAAAACTACACAGAAGTTTCTCGGTCCAGCAGTTTTACCTTCGATAGAATTTTTTAAACTCATTTCTAGAAAATTATAGGAATCTTTTCTGAACTTGATTCGCTGATGACTTCTGGTACGAAATAACAGTTTACATCTATTTGAATCCTAAGCATCTTATGACTCATCTTAAGCATTGTGAGTAGTGGATAATTTTTTTAACAGAGAGATGATAGCACTATAAACGTAGCGGAAACAATTGTGCTAACATGGTATTGCCTTTCTGGAAAAATCACGCAATGTATTTCCATTTCGCATTTAATTAACGTGTCGCAGCTCTATGTGAAATGTGGTACTCCTCAGCAGCTCTAACGCTTAATTAGAAACAGATTCCTAACATCGTTCTATGCGAGGTACAGACACTGTGCCTCAGGCAACATATCATGAGTAGCAAGGAGTGCTAAGATTTAACAGATTTCATAATTACTTTTATTTTTAAACTGATTTTGAAAGCATTTGTATGTGTATTGTCGGTTGGGGTTCCTCGTCCTGTTACGTATCATATCAGATAAGGTTTTTTTTCCGATCACAAGTAAATCCAACGATTGTTTTAAACATTTATCTGTTTGCTTATTTCACTTCCACAATTTGCGGGAAATCCATGAGGACAGCTAATTTTTCAGGATTATATTTTAAATAATACAATTTACGATGAACGATGATGATGAGCCAAAAGGTTATACATGGGAAGTGGATTATGCGGATGGTATGATAATATTTTGTTACACTAAATTAATCTAACATCTATTTTAGATTCTGTCTAATAGTTTTTTTTTCCCAGAAAGAAAAGGTTTGGTAGTTTACAGTTCTGAATTTCAGGGTTTATCAGATTGAAATACCAATCGGTATTTTAATATTTGTAAATTTCAGGGTTGAATATTCGAGATGTACTGCATGAAGATGAAAATGGCTCAATTGAGAAATCAGTTGCTAAATTAATACTTGATATGAAGCGGAAAAAACGTTTTAGTAATCGGCCGGCTAAAGTTCGGTTGGGAATTGTGAGCGAATTTATTTCTATTTCGCTTTTTCCTTTTAAATTCTGAAGTTTATGAAAATCCGAAATTTTAATGAAATAGGATACCTTATAGATGCGTTATGTGTATCTAATCATTGACTGCTCTTTTTCAATGGCCGATAAATCAGTACAACCGTCACGTCTTACTATTACGATTAAGGTAATCTTCATAATAACGCGATTTTTTTTGATCAAGTGTTCATCAAAACTTGTTGGGAATAGGAGGCGAAATATGACGAAAATTCGGAATGCTTACACATAGTCTTACACATCAAATCAAATGTAGGAATAAATATATTTCCCACTGTTCTGTAACAGAAGAATATTAAATGCTGAATTTTTTCTACTAATTGATCTGTTACTTTACTTCGAATCAAAAAATTTCGAGTTTACGAAACTATGATAGAACTAGTTATCTAAATTATAATTCAAGTGTGATTTTCAGGCTTTAAATCAATTTCTCGACAAGTTTTCAGAGCAAAATCCTATTTCACAAGTGGGTATTGTAGTTTGCAAAGATAAACGAGCTGAACGTCTAATTCCCCTGACTGGTTAGTTAATTGCCTTCGTTTGCACATTTACAGATTCATTTATTTACATATTTTTTACGATTGCTTTATCAGTTCACCATGTGTACACAAGAAGTTAATTTGAATGTAATCATGGGCGGAAGTCTTTAATGTACTAGTCACGACGGATTACTACAGTGTAGTGCTTCATCATGTTGTCGTATACATAAAAGCAGAGTTCAAGACTCATAACTTTTCAGTAAAGTAAATTTGACCTCAAGATGACTAAGCAATTAATTAACAGGTTTGTCCTAGGTAATGTTCGCTTAGTGAAGGAATCTTTATCGACGATAACGGAAGTTTTGTGCCACGGGGAGTTTTCATTGCATAACAGTTTGATGGCCACTATTAGAAGTCTGCAGTATGATTTCTTTTTAAAATTTTCTTGAAAGCGTTGAAATTTCAAATGCATTCTCTAATATATGATTAAAATGGCCATGTAAGTCGGGTACAATATGCGTATTAAAAGAGATACACATAGTTTTAGTAAAAGTCAGTATACTTATTATTGCATTATTGGTTCACGAGAAATATACGAAGTTTTAAGATACGGTACAGTTAAGCCAGATGATGACAAAGATGCAAGTGCACTTCCAAGTCCAACAAATTACCAGACTTGTAACTGGTCAGCAGATCAGGAGTCTGATACGTGTAAATGAGCAGAGTGCAAAAATTTCTATATTTCAGTAATTATCCGGGTCATGCTAGTCGAGAAGTAATATTGATCGTGGCAAGTCTTTCAACATGTGATCCCTCAAGTGTTTTTGGCACATTTGAAGTTTGTTTTCATGATTTTTTTTCTTGTTTTGCAAAGTCGGACTTGAGCAAGATTTTTTGGCATATTGTATTAGATTGCTTCCACACGCTCACATCACGATTATTTTAATGTTTATTTCAGTTATTGAAAAGGTACCATATACGCTGTTCGGTGATCTCACTGACTGCAGAAGTTTTCGTTTTTAAAAAACTTTGCTCCATTACATCAGGTGAATGTTTTCATCTTAAAGGATAGTTTCCTAAAGATCTTCCTGACTTTCTTTTAACGAAATAATTTGAAATTTTGCATAATTTAAGGGCGTCATAACGTAGTACTGGATAGTACCCATTTCGAGGTAATTTTGAATGAGCATACGAATCCTCCGATATCTAGTCGAAATGCCGAGAGCAGTGTTGTTCGAATGGGTTTTCCAGCCCATGAAAGCATAGATTCTCCTTCGTTTTGTTTATGGTAAGTTTGGTGTTAATAAGTTTTCATTAATAAGAGCGCTCATTTTAAAAATAAAAATTGATTAATTTCAGCCATCAATCAGAGATTCGGACACCGGGTGGAAGAGGTTTTTTCTGTCCGCAGTGCGGAGCACGTTATTGCAGTTTACCAGTTGAATGTCGAATCTGCAAATTAACTTTAATCTCAGCACCTCAGCTTGCGCGCTCTTTGCATAATTTGCTACCACTACCAGCTTTTGAAGAAATCGATACAACGGAAGGGTAATTTTATTTAACAACTTTGGATCAGAACTATGAGAACTTAGAATGTGTAACCACATTGCAATAGTGCCAATGTTTCGAATAGTCTGGAAGTTAGCTCGCAGAGTAGTACTTCTTCATCACTACATCTTTGCTGCAGGTCCTACATGTCCTTAATCAAATGTTCTTATCTTTTTTTTTCAGGACCTGTTTTGCTTGTATCAGACAACTTGATGATAAAAGTTTCGCTTGTAAGAACTGCAACTCAAAGTTTTGTATAGATTGTGATGTTTTATTGCATGAATCATTGCAAATTTGTCCTGGTTGTAAATCTGGTGTTAAATAAATAATTTATTTAAAGGATAAATGTTGGATAAAATTTAGTTTTACCTGTAAAGGCATATTTAACTTACTTACATTTTGTAAAAAATTTATATATGCTACATAATCGGTGCTTATTAAATGTATGTTAAAAGAATCATCTGACAGCTTGGATTCGTAAGTCATGTGAGGATTGATGAACTACTTATAATTATTTATTCGGTTGGATTGTGTTCCTTCTCACAGATTTTTTATGAAGAAACATATTTTTAGTATGGTCAAAAAAATGAATAATGGGAAAGTAAGGGAGACTGCAGGTCAAGCAATGAAAATAAATCAATTCGAACTGAAATACAATCGTGCAAAGCACAAGGTATATCTTGCCAGGACAGAGTGTTTGATAATTCTAGATATATTAAATTTGATTGTTGAGTCGAAAAGCTTGGAATTTCTTTCCAGATTTATGTCATACTCTAAGTTTCACTCCGAGAACGTTATAGATACTGGGAACAAAAGCGCTATCAGCTCCATGTGGTGCACCAGGATTATCGAAGAAAAAGGCCTTTGAAAATAGGGCTAAGACATTGGCTATAGAATGGAAAGAACGTGGAAAACGTAATAAGGTATGTTTTTTCTTCGTTTGGTAGCTTATTGTGAAATATAGAAAAAACTTCTTTTTCGAATTTTGCACCTAGCGTTGTGTGAAGAGCAGTTTTGTTTTGTTTCTAGATTATTGATCAGCGCATCGGTGAAGGTAATAGCATGATGGATAATGAAGAACGTATTTTAAAACGATTTACTGAGGAACGTTTGAAAATTTTCAAAACAACCAATTCAGAACTAACAAATGACGGAGGTAAATTTTTTTCATGAAATGTGGGTTTTTGCAAAATGTTAGGCAACAATTCTGCATATGGAATATTTTTTGTTGATTTTTTATTAGTTCACATCCTTTCTGAAGTGTTTAATCAGCTATCTAGTCTTATTTGTTTATCATCGTTTTTTTTCAACACATGCCACAAGTCGTAATTTTTCAGACGAAAAACTGACTCATAGAGGACGAGAATTAACTGAAGTGGGGAGGTATGATCGCACGATGTTAAGCGACGAGGATAATGATGACGAGATGAGAGGAGGAGGAAATATAGATTCAAATATTGTGGCTGCAGTTCATTTTGGTGGTGGATTTGAAGCATCAACGGAAAATACAGCCATAAAAAGGTTATTATAATTTGATCTAATTTAGAGTTTCATTTTTTTTGAATTTGCATGTAAAAATTTAATATTCAGTTTAATTCAGTCCAGAACATCCATCTTCGTCTTTCTTAAAAGAAAAAACTCAATATTAGAGAAAATGAGGATATTCTGCTTTTTGTTTTTGTTAGCATTTGTTTCCTATTTTTTTCAATATTAAATGCGAAAAAGGTGGTGTTTTTTGTTAAACCCTTATTAGAGAAATAAGTGTTCCGAAATTTGTTGTGTTTTGGGTATATTTATCCTATATAGGCAAGATTTTATTGCCGAATTAATAGCAAAAACGAGGCAACAACGTTACGACAAAAAGTTAGCTCGTGATGAATATGAAGATGCAACGGAAAGATTGGATGAAATGTGGAATAAAATACAACAAACAGGTGCAATGACCAGTTTTGTAAAGCCTACGAAAGATAAATTAAATATAAGTCGAGATGAAAAAGATGATTACGATCACTTGGCAAGTATTTATTCAAAATTTGAAATATTACCAACTTTTTCTCTGTATTTCAGTCATTTTGTTCTTTTTGTTTGGAAATATCACCGGAAAATCTTTTTAAAAAAAACAGATTATTGTCATTTATTTTATCTGTGATTTTGTTATATTTGTGGGGTTCAATATTTTTTGCTAAGAAACTAATTTTTATCATGATTGGCCAACTTTTTAGTTCTACGAGCTTCGAATGGATAGTGGGAAAAGAGGAGAGGCAACTGAACCACAGAAAATAGAAAAAGAGAAAGCAAATGAAAACCGTGAAAAGCTAATTAGGCAAGAAAAAACTCGCCTTGCCAAGATGGATCAGGTTTTATGTTGTTTTTGAGACTTGTTTCCTCACTATATTTTAAATAGTAATTCGAATTTTTCGAAATTATGCTGTTCTGCGACACATTTAAATGGCAGATTTTCTAGGATAAAGAAGCAAAAAAGAAATCAAAAAGTGATGGTAACAAAAACATTTTTATGGTGAAATATGACAGCTCAGGTGCGCTTATGAACATAGAAAAGGTGCAGTTGCAAAGTTTGAATTTGTATTGAGTGTGAGGTTATTATATCAATACAGCATTTTTTTGCAATCTGTATCTGGTAGTCTTAGGAAAATGATTGTATTCAATCATGCAAATATGTTTCACAATCCTTTGGTTTTCCACTTTCAAAATTTTTGTTACACTTTTAGCTCAAAAAAGGACGAATAAAGGTAGTTCGTATTGGGTCATCGGATGAGGAAGATGAAACAAATAGTGAAGAAATGGATGAAGACAAAGAAAAGGATGATTTTGATGCAATGGTGAATGGCGTTGATCAAACCGATTTGCCGCAATCCAGTACAAGGGACACTGGTATAAATGCAGAGACAGAAAGTATGTTATTGTATAAACATTTTAAAATTCAAAACGATTTAGACTACCATGCGAAATTCATTTATAGATCAATTAATTAGGGACATTCAGAATGTTTTTAGTTGTCGTTAATGTATTTTTATATCAGACTCCCTACCAGAAGTAAGCAATTATACAGAACAGCTATTCTACCATTTTTTTTGAAGAGATTTTACTGTAAGAAGAGAGAGATATGTAATCGATATCGGCAGCTGAATTAATAAATTAAAAAAAACGTTGAGGTACCAGCAACTAGAGTTCCAAAAGATGGGCTTTGCAAAATTAAAAAAAAAAATCAGGTTGATTACAATTTTAATGAGAGTTATACACTTATCTGATTTTCAAGGTGTTATTTTAATTTATGATTTATAACAACACATATTTGCAATGAATTGCTGAATTAACATTGATTACAGTTCGAAAAGGATCAGAAAATGGGGAATTACCTTTTGTCATTGATTTGCCTCAGAAATATGAAAATCTGAAAAAGTTGTTAAGTGCTCAGAATGATGCAAACACTGAAGTAATCATTAAGCGATTAATTGAGCTTTATCATCCAAGTCTTTGTGAAGGAAATAAATCTCGACTTGGTCGGCTATTCATACTTCTTCTCAGGTATTTTAGTTATCGTTTTCAGTTTTCCTTCTGTGTAAAACAGCTATAAAATTTCAAAAGTGAAATAAAAAGTAGATTAAATTATCTGATTTTTTGAACGCTTGCTATTTATATTAGTTTGGGTCAACGAATGCAGCGAATCTAATAGAAGCTCTCTTAGAAATTTTTCATAGGTCCAGCTAATTTTTTTCAGATATTATGATGACTTATCCAAGGAAAGCGTAGCAAAAATAGCTCCGTTTGGTTATTTGGTACGAGCATTATATTTTTTGATGAAGGCTAGTTTTTAAGAATTTTGAAAGATTTAGTTTTTTCCAATTGTTTTTTTAAATTCACTTTGATTATTAAAGTTTTGTTTTTGGTGACGAAAGAATTGCTATTCATTTCATTTTAGTATGTTTTAGTTCGACGTCGAGCATAGTGCACGTTGTATGCGTGCTCTCCTACGTCAGCAATATGCACTACATGCGCGTGCACCACGCGAGATGTTTACATTTCGCTTTGTTGCATTTCTGAAATTGGTTTCAACTTTATACCCAATGCATGATACGTTTCATCCTGTCGTCAGTCCATCACTTGCATTTGCTTGCCGCCTTGTTTCAACTGCACGAATGTGCAGTATAAAAGACGTTGCACGCATGCTATCAATGACCGGAATGCTGGGTTCATTTGTAGAAGAAAGTAAGAGGTGAAATTTTTGCTTTTTTTGGAATTACTGATGAATAAAATCTTTGAAATGGTGGCTGACTTTAAATAAACATTGCATATTTTCGGTATTTTAAAATTTCGGAGTATTAAAATCATTTCTAATTTTTGTGGAAATAATATAATAAATACAATGGATTATATAGATATTTACCAGAAGTTATTGCTTTCCTTCATGGCGTTTTTTTGATGGCAATTGAAAGCAGAGATGATGAACGTTCTCCAGCGACAACCTTTCCCATATCATTGCCACATCGTAGGATGCTTTTTATTACTGATGATGTTAGTTTATTGTTATATCAGTTTGATTATTTTTATTCAATAAATTTTCAAGAAATCATTTTCTTCTAATTTCAATTAAAAAATTTTTTCTTTTTAAGTTTAGAACTGATTTATAATTAATACTAATCATTTTCAGTGTTCAATGATTGAAATAACTGCACAACTAGATGCAACGGAAGTGTTCAGTGATGACAAAGATAGGTAAATTGCTTTTTTGAAAATAATGAGAAGTTGGATTTGCAACAAAAAAAAAATCATTCTATATAGGCAGTTAGGCAGTTATATAAAAACATATATAGGCAGTTATATAAAAACCTGGTAAAGATAAATTGAAAAGGATAACAAGTAACTTAAAGTATTTTATTATTATTGCTTATGGTTGTTATTCTCTTTTTTATCAAAATTCAATTGTATAATGAAATACATCTTCTAACTGATGTTATTACATGCCGACCAGCAAACATCAGTCTTTTATAAAACGTTGTGGAACCATTTGCTTTAATCTATTCCTAGCTCTTTGAGTTCTCGGTAGAAAGTTACTAAATTCATCATGGAAATGATAATAAATCACAAATTTCTTTTCAATGTTAAAAATTGGCAAGCTAATCTTTTTCCCAACTTTTGGAAATAACTTTTTCAGCTTTGAAGAAAACAACAAAAATCGCTTATGTGTTTTAAATATTGCTTTTACCGTTTTATATCGATTTAGTTCCATTTATTCGAACATTATCAGCTTCTCAATAATTTTCAGGTATTTCAGTTTTCATGCTTTTCGATAAATAAAGAAATGTAGTTATGATAAGGAAGATATATCTTTAAATTAATTAAGAAAATTCCTGAAATTAGAATATCAAGTCGAATTTTTAGGCCACTTATCGGCCTGCTGTCACGATTACCACGTAATCTATATCCGACTCAATTATTGGAGAAATTATCTGAATTGGAATCGTTTATCACGGCTCAGTTTACAAGAAATTTACTAAAACAACTGCAGCGTCCAGTGAAGCAGAAAAAGTAGAGAATTTCCTCGGATTTGTATCATTTATTATTGTTTCAATCATCTCTTTATTCCTCAATTATTGGTACCATTATGGCTTAATTCAGAATGCTGGATCTGTTGGAACCATGTTTTGAAGAGAATTATAATGCAGAAAAAGCGCATCACAACAAGAATGTTGCAAAGAAGTCGAAAAAGGTTGAAATCAAACAACTCACTAAAAAGTATAAGAGAGAATTACGTGGAACAGTGCGAGAATTGCGTCGTGACAATCAATTTTTAAATAGGTACGTATGTTGACTTGTATTTAATATTTAATGTTTTGAATTTGATCTCTGTTATTCTTTCTTGGTTTATATTTGAAATATAAGAAAGAAATATCACTATTTTAATCAATTTTTCAGAGAAAAGCGACAAGAAATGTTGGAGAATGATAAGGTTCGGAAGAAAAAGACGAAGTGGCTGATATCCACTTTGCAAGGACAGGAAAGTGAATACAAAAAGAATATCTACATGAAACACAAGTTGTGAACAAGATGGGTGAACAGAATCAATAATTTAGAATTTTTGAACGGATTCGCAAAATTGTTGTTGAAGTGTTTAGGTTGCAATCACTCTTAGTTTTTGTTTATTTCCTTTTAATAATTCTTCTGCAGTTTAATAAATGTTGTTGAAAGAAATTGATGTGGTTAATCATTCTCAACAGAGACGATGTAATATTAGTTAGCTAGAAGATTTTCCACTTAACTGGTAATAGATATATTTTCAGAAGTATACAGCAGCAAAGTTATTCATATATTGATTTCCCTATAAACGCAGTCCTGTATGCTTTTTTCCAAAAATGTGTTTTGTATTTATTTTTCTTATGGTCAAGAAATTTTCGTTAAAATATTTCTTATTATGAGATTCTGAGAAACAATTGAAATTTTTGAAGCTTTGAAGATTTTGAGGTGTAGACAAGCCAACAAACTATTATTTATGATAAGGGAATGAGCGATCTTCAAAGATGTGAAGGTCGATCGAAAACGCCAGTTTAGTTAATTCGTTCTAATATTTGAAGTCAATTTTAGCAGCAGTGCAACAAACGTTTGGTGTTTGCTACTTTCTCATATTTGACCCATATCATTGTTTGATTGTTTTTAAATGTAGTGGAACTATTGCAGTAACCAAATAAGCAATGAATTTCTCAAGATATATATATCAGAACAACATTCAATGATTTAAGATCATTAAATGATGAAAACATACATTCAGCACATCTTTGTCTATTAAAATTATTCTCCAGATTATAATCCTTGATGTTTTTTCTTTTTTTGAACTTACCACCTATTTGTTTATGACAATTCTAAATTAAAACATTACGTAAAAGTCAAAGTATTAAAGAAAGCTTGAAAATAAATTCGTCTATTTACGACATGTCTGATATCATTATGAAAGTTCTGAATGTGTGGACCGTATCAGTTTAAATAATTTCAGAATGTTGTTCCAATTTGCACATTTCAGAAGGAATTGTTGCATTTTTATGTAAACAGTAATTTGAAATTGAAGAAGGGATGCGATGATCAGTGAGGACTTTGAAGTTTTTCCGCAAAGATTTGCTATCAATCGAACTTTTACAACATAAATTCAATACGATGATCTCGAAAGTTTTCCTTCAGTTTATTTATTCAGAAATATTTGTGATTTTAGAAAATTTTAATTTCGAAATAAAAAAAAAGTCTATAATTGATGGATAGCTATAATGAAAGAAAATTAAATTAAAATTTTAAAATCTATAAATTATTCCTTTTATCTTTGCTATATGTAAAAAGAAACGAAAGTACTAAAATAAATTTCAAAATGAATTTGTAAATTACAATTCAGATTTCATTAATTTTTTTACCTTGTGTAAAATGGAAAATTCTCATTAGAAAATTAATGAACGATCAATTGAAATTACGACAACGTTTCAATAATTATAAATAAACGGTAGAAGAAATCGATTAGGCTAACTAATTCAACTTTAATGTAATAATAATTATAATAAATAACAATAATAAATAACAATAATAAATAGTAATAATGATTACATGATAATAGTGTAATAAATTATTATCATTATTAACAAATACATTATTATTAATAGTAATTATTACCATTAATTATGAAAAAGAAATTTGTTTCGTTTGTTTATGGAGTTTTTGAAATGAACTTATTTATCATTAATTGAAGTAAATTTAAGTATTCAGTTGTTTATTTCATTCATAGTTAATGTAATCAAAATAATTACAATTCTAAAATAATCAATAAATCAATATTTGATCATTTAGATTTGAAATATAGCGTCCCATTAATTGCATGCCATTATTGATTTGTTTAGTTAATTATTGCCTTCTAAGTTACAATAAGGAAATGGCTATCATACATACATGTATACACATATACACACATGCAGTACATACATACATACATACATACATACATACATACATACATACATACATACATACACACATACATATACACATTCATAGACATGCACAAACATACAGAAAGTAACATTGATAGAGTGGTGATAGATATGTTTGGTGACATAAATAATAGGAAAGGGTAAAAGGGCAAGAGGGCAGGGTTCATCGATGGGAAATAACTGACCAAACTTACTCATTTTATAATGATGTGGATTTAGCAGGATGTGATAGTATTATTATTATTATTATTATTATTATTATTATTGATGTTTTGTTTATTGTTTGAAATTTTGAAATAATTAAAATTTCAGTTTTGAATAAATATTTAAATTATTTTTTAAAGCAAAAAAGTTTTCCCTTTTGTTTTATTTTTTGTGCTTTATTAATTTTCATTTGAATAAAATTATAACTTTCAGTGATACATACGCATATGAAATGCTTCTTTGGTTCGATATTTTATTGTTTACTAATTATTGCTATCGGTAAACAAGCAATAACAGATAAGGATGGGATAGTTGCTGATATAAAAGCAAATTTATCAACACTCATTCATGTTCATGCTGTATGTCTTATTTGAAGATATTTTTCCTCTCTTAACAATTAATTAATTAGAATTATAATTAATAATAATGTAAAATTTTAACCCAAAACTGAATACTTTAGATATATCGATTAAATTATTGTGTTATTTAGTAGAAGAAAAAGGATAATTAAAAATGTTAAATTTTCAGGTGGAACTTTTTTTTAAAATCCATTTGCTGGAAAATAATTCATTTTATCGGGAAGTTTATTTTGGGTGGAAGAAATTAACATAGCATTTATTATATATGCTATTATAGAATATTTTAAACAATAAGACATTAAAAAAGTTATTGTTTAAATTAATTTATCAAGCTTCAATTGTTGATGTTGTTAACAGTTATTATCAAATAGATGTGGCGACATGGTGATCGTACACCAATAACTTTACTTCCAAATGATAAAGCTAATGATGAGGGATCATGGGAAATTGGCTTAGGTGAATTAACAGTTGATGGCATCTGGCAAGCATATCATCTTGGCAGATTTCTTCGACAACGATATGATGGATTTTTAAGTGAAACGTTTAAAACTTCCGAGGTTTCATTTAGAATTTTATAAATTTTCAAATATAACAAATGTTTTTTATTGTCACTATAAATTTTCCAATGCATAGTATATATATATAAATCTTCATTTTTTTAATTGAAGTTTAATTTAATTAAAGTTTAATTGAAGTTTAATTTAAGTTTACCACAATTAAAATCCGAAGATAATAAATAATAGAGTTGTTGTTTTTCTACTGTAATAAAATTTTATCACAGTTTCATTTATAAAAAAAAAGTGGGAATCGCTAAACATTTGACCTTCGACTTATAATAGACGTGATTTAAGAATAATTTGTTTACATCAAAAAAAAGAATTGTTTTATTAGCTAAATTTTTAATTAGAAAAATTGTTATGTAAACAAAACATATGAATGAAAATTGTTCAATTAATTAATTAATTATTTGTTTGTATTAAAAAACAAATTTTTTTCGAAAATTTAATTAAGCATAATTAATCTTTTTCAGATTTACGTAAGAAGTACAGATATCAATCGTACGTTAATGACAGCCAATGCTGTCCTTCAAGGTTTATATCAACAACGATATTATAATGATAACTTATCACTATCAGTATGGCATCCAATACCAGTGCATACAGTAAAAGTCGAAAATGATAAAGTTGAACATTTTTTTTCATTTTCAAATTATTGATTTTTTTCAGTAATTAAAAAATTTTTTTAAAAAAAGATAATTAAAGAATCTAACATAGAGGATAATTAAAAATAACATAGAAATATAGAAACGAACATTTATGAATTTCCGTCTATTGTTTTTTTGTATTATCTTTGATATAATTTGGCAATAATTTTTTGATATAACTAAAATTATTCAAATTTAATATTTAAAAGAAAAATTTTTTTTCAACAGTTGCTTCAACAAAACTGTGCGAAAGTAAAAGAAGAATTACAAAAAGTGATGAAAATGAAAGCCATACAAGATATGTTACAAATGAATGAAAAGTATTTGCAATATATCGGTAAACATATGAATGTTGAAAATGGCGGCTATTTTGATTTTGAAAATATTTGGCTTGTATACGATCCACTTAAAGTTATTGTAAGTTATCGTAATTTTTTCAAATTCATTTTAACTTAATGAATTTAAGAAATACAATTTAAAGGAAAATGATAGTTTTGGTCATATTTTTTTGTAAAATAAAATGAAGTATTTTGATCGAATTTTATAAGCAAAATAGAATAAATTATTTTATTGTCTTTTCTTTTATATTTTTCCGATAGTTTTTCTTTAGACTTATCATAAAGATAAACATGAATTTCCAAAATGGGTTAATGAGACAATATGGAATAAAATTTCGGAAATGTACAATTTATGGGGTCAATATCAATACAGTACCGATTTGTTGAAAAGACTTCAAGGAGGTTATTTTCCAGTTTTCTTTAAATTTCTTGATTTTAAATCAAGGAAGAAAATCAATGGAATTTATGATAAAGGAATAATTTAATTGTTTTAGGCGAATTATGGAAGGAAATTTTTGTAAGACTTAATAATTTGATAAAGGAACATTCAGTGTGGAAGCAAAAGATCTATGCATATTCTGCGGTTTGTCCTTCATTTCCTTCTTCCAATTAATTAATTGACTTGAATTCATTAAGTGAACTCATTAGAAACCATAAAAACCATTTGCATATCATTTACTGAACTAAATTTGGTGAATAGAATTTTTTGCCAATAATTAATTTTATTTATGATATATTTATCAAATAATATTGCTATTTGTTAAAAGAAATCTTCATATGAATTACAGCACGATGATACATTAGCAGTATTATTAAATATGTTTGGTATGAAACTTACTGCTTATCCACCATATGCTGCTCTTGTATTACTTGAAACACATTTGATTGATAATGAATTCATTCTTCAGGTATAAATTTCAATTTTGTATTAAATTACGAAATTATCTTCTTTAAAAAATTTTACTGTTATTATTTTTTTTCCAAACTATAAATGGGTATCAGTTAAGTTAAACTGTTTGCGCATATATTAATCTTTATCATATCAATACAATCACATTGAAAATAACTTTATTATCACTTCAAATATTATTAGTTATTATCTCTAGCAGATGTAACTGTTAGCACATAATTTATTCTTTACCAATATATTACCATTATTTGTAACTATTCAAAAATCATTATCATATCTTGATCAATTCATACATTTCTAATTGCCTCATCTTTACTATAACTTTCATCAATATTAGTTTCACAAATAACTCTATTCCTATTGTTTGTTTATAAAGTCGTAAAAGTAATGCAAATACAAAATTAGTAACGATGGCGTAATTAGAAGCGTTATGAAATTGACCGTTACGTGATATTTATTTATAAATGGATTAATAAATACTTGGGAATTTTCTAACTAAATTAAAATTTGTAACTGAATTAAAATTTCATAAAATTTAAAAATATTTTTGTACATTAAAATTATTAATTACTTAATATTTAAGCTTTACTACAAAAATGTTACCGATTCCAATCAAATTTATCATTTTCCAATTGCTTACTGTAATGATGATATATGTACGGTAGAGAAGTTGGAGATAGCGACAAGCAATTTTATTCCACAAAATTGGGAAATGGAATGTGATCCGAATGTTTTATACAGGAAAATGAGTAAGTTACACATTGATCAAATTATGCAAAAACAAAAAATGATTAATAAGAAGATGGTTAACAAATTTGATTAATTTAATAAATGAATTTAACAAATATGCAAATAATTTTTGCTTATTGACAATTATTTCTAGAAATGATGTGATTCTATCAAAAGTATAATCTAATATATGGAGTATGTGGATATATGTATGTATGTGTGTGTGCGTGTGTGTGTGTGTGTGTGTGCGTGTGTGTGTATGTATCTATGTTTAAGCTTGTGTATACGCGTGTGTGGATGAGTGTATCTAAATATGTACTGTTTGATATTCAAATTTATTACTGATGTTATATAAGTTGCTCAGGCTTCGAATTAATCATCTATTTTATCTCATCAGAAGAACTAATTATTTAAGAGATATATGTATCAGTCTAACTTCACAATGACTGTAATCACGCGAATAAATGAATTCCACCTATAGCCATAGTTTATAATTGAGCCTAGAAAGAAATTACGCTTGTTAAGAAAAATGGTTGAAAATGATTTTAACTTCTCAAAAATTTTGGGAACTGAAATGGGAAAGAATATAGTGATAATTGATATAATTGTTTTAATATAGAAAGACAATTTAAATATCGAAGGCTTTTGTTTGAAACTGAATATTAAAATGAATGCTAACATTTCAACTGATTTGTTCAGTTTTAAAATATTAATTTTTTTCAAACGTTTTTTTTCGTTAAATATCAATTTAGACATTTCATCGTCTTTCTTACAAACTTCTACTCTAATTCAAATTTATTTCAGGTTCTGCTATATTATTTATTTCATTGATTAGCGTTGTGGCGGTAATTTCATGTCAAATTTTGAAGGCACATATTATGAAACGGAAAGTTTATAATGATCGAACGGTTGCTTTTCCATCTGATGCTGAATGGCACTTTTAAGAGAAGATGTGATACGATAATAAGTTCATCGAATTTCATCTGAACTTCTCAACTTTCAATGTTTTGAAGTTAAATGAAGGAATTACTTAAAAAAAAAAACCATCCCCTCAAAATTTTTTCCTAATATGTCATTCGAATTGTAGTGATCTTTTTGAGAGAATGATCATATCGAATATAATTCTTTCATATAATAATGATAATAATAGTAATAACAATAATAATAATAATAGCAATAATAATAATGATGATAATAATATGTCTTCCTTATTTATGTACGATAGAATAAGCTTTTTAAGAAAGTAAGCATATGTTACTATTACCGAATAATTTCCTATTATTAACGAATAATTTTTTAAGTTCAAAATTTTCTCAAATTATTTTTATTTTCATAAAATTACAAACAAAGTATAAAGGCGTGACATTTTCGAATTTTAAAACTCAATTCATACTGTTATCAGTGATTGTTTAACTCTTTTGCTCTCATATGTTTATTTATTTCAGAATTGCAATTTATGCTTTTGTTTATTTTTTGCTGTTATAAGCCTTTATTGTTATGCAAAATTAATTTCTGCAATCAAACAATTAATTTAGCCATAGTATCATTGACGTTATCATTATTTAATCGTTATCAAAATGACGTTATCATTATTCAATCGTTATCAAAATAGTACCTATCCTTTATTAAAATTTTAATTTTTAAAAATGAAAAAAATCTTTTTAAATAATTTTTACAATAACATTGAAATTTGTTAACTTTGATTTTCAAATATGCATTTATAACAAACAAACACACACACACACACACACATCGAGCATGAACATCAAATATACATGATATTTCAATTTAAACTTTATTTTAATATTTTCCCTTCTTTCTCTCTCTCTCTCTCTCTCTCTCTCCGCTTGTAATTTTTATTTTCATTTAAATTACATTCATTAATTATTTTAATTATTATTTGACGAAAATATTTCATTCCCAAATTATCTTTTTATTACAAATTTTTACATATTTTATCAGTTTATTTTCAGGTAATATTTATTTACCTTTCCAATTTATTTCTTTCTAATTGATTAATGAAAAAAGAAACGATCAATAAAAATTATTCGATTGAATAAATGAAAATATAATCGAAATTGAATGAATCGAAATGATTCAATTAATCATAGCAATTTGATACGTTGAAATATTTCTGATATTTTGCATAATATTTCATCGACTAATTGTGTATGATTTATTGATTGTAAGATAATTTAATGATTGTAAAATTAAACTTTTAAATTTCACACTATCTTATGCAATTCATTTTTTAATTTAAAAAGAAAAAATTGATTGTTACAGAAGAAAATAATGGGAAAACAAAAGAATCCCAAAATCCATCTTTTGTAATCGATAAGAATCAAAATAAGATAAACAAATTTGAAATTTCAATGGAACAATAAATCGAATTGTAATTATTAGCTCAAATATAATTGCCATGCTTTTCATCACACCGTACAATGATTTCAGTATATATATATAGAAGTACATATAATATAAGTATATATATAATATAAGTACATTAGTCATCCTTTCTAGTCTGACAAAAATGAAATCATAGAATTTGGGAATTGTTTTGTTATCAAATTTGATAAATTTTTAAATTAATTCTTCCAATATTTCCGCTATTCATCTTATGTAAATGTTGATGCTGAATCATCTTCATATCAAGAGATACGGAATTTTTGTTTCTATTCTTTCTACATCATTTTCTTCACAAACTATACATGTAATTCTGATAAGCGCTTTTTTCTTTGCGGGAAAGGGAAAATGGCATAACTGCTTGAATTAATTCATTATGTGTGGATGGAGATTAAGATGAAGATTAAGATTAAGATGAAGATTAATGAAGATTAAGGCATAAAAAATGATTTTGCAAGGAATTCCTGAATTGCTTAAAATAACAAAGTTTGCCATGAGAAATAAGAAATATACTATTAAATTTGCAGCTTTCTTTTTTGATATGAAGCTAATAGCGAAAAGATCGCGTGCAAATCTACTGCCTTAGCTAGTGGATAGGATGAATTAATTTAATACTATTGATATAATTCAGCTTAAAAAAGTTTTGGCCAAGCATAAAAGTGTTGTAAGAAATTCCCAGATCACAGATGTAAATGGCTGAGTGTGCACTTTCTTTTTTAACTCCATTTATTCAGTAAACATTAAAATAATACGACTCAAACGGTTACATGACAATGCATTCTTCGTAATAAATAAAAAAAATTATAAAACATTTGAACAAATTATACAGTAAACTTTCAACGAGTATTAATTTTGCAGAAAAAAAGCCACTTTGGCTTGAAATTTTAACTAAAACTTAAATAAATGATACTTTCTCATATCTTATTATATTCAAATACTAATAATCGATGAATTTCGCATACCGTTTCCAATAACGAGTTTTAAACTTATCTTTCAGATAAGAATTGAAACTGGGAACAGTCATTCTGTCTCAAAAGATTTCATGGCACAGTATTTAGTTAGGAATATATTATTAAAACATCGAGCACACCGCAATGAAATCCCTTAATCTAACTAAAAAAGACAAAATGTTTATAGTTACTACGCTGAAAATTCCCATTTAACTCCTTCATAAAGGCAGTCTTTTTAAAAGACTATTGCTTTCAACTTCACTACTTCTATTGATATTCATACTGCCACTCTAATTTCTAATATTTTCCAGCATATTTTGTATTAAGTGCATTTGTACCATCACCCTTTTGATTTTCTGGTGGCATCCACATGATGTAATTCTCATCTCTGTTAGGAAATCCTTCACCATAATCATCGTTCTGCAATGAATCATGTAAACTACTTGACGTCAAATATTTAAATACTTGTCATGAATACATATCATGGTAAGCAAATTATCCCGCTGAATAACCAATACTAACAGGTCAATATAAAATAAAAGTCGAACAATCAAAGATAGTTTGCTAAGACTTGGATTATTACTTCAGTTTAAAGTCTAAAACAGAGAATTTTAAATATAAAAAAGCATATGCGATATTCCTGCAGAAAGTATAACAGAGTGCGCGCATTGCAGATTGCTTAATTAATAATATAGGACCTTTTGCTGCTTCGATAATGGTAGATTGCGAGTTCGGATGCGTTTTCGTTTTAAAGATTTGTCATCTTTAGATGCTTGCTTTTCATCCGAAATGGTGCACTTTTCCGCAACGGTTAACGGAACAATCGCTGCTTCATTTTTCTCGGTTTCTTTAATCACAAGTAATTTTTCTGGGCTGGATACCATTGATGATGATGTTGGAATATTGAATTCCTTGAAATTAAAAATCTATTTCATGAAATTAAGGAGATTGGCTTTCCTTAACTATTTAAAGAACATCAAAATTCCAGAAACATTTCTTCCAAAGCAAGAAAAACCTTTTAAACTTTAAAACGGTTATCACATAATGACAAACCTTTCCATTAGCATCATCAGCTCTCGCTGCAAAATCCCGCAGACAAATGCCAGATGAGATATTACCAGAACTATTGCATGATTTTTCATCATCTTCAACTTCTGCTATAAAAGATTGATCGGCGGTTTTTTTAATGAATGCATTCGACGGTAATTCCATTCCTAATGACTCATTTCGTTCTTTCTCTTCCGGATGTGATCTTTTGGTCTGTCGCATTTTCATTAATTTCTTCATTGTGGCTGCCGACAAAGAACCCACAGCACGTTTATCATCCTGAGAATTTTAGCTTGTGCAAAAACTATATGGTTTTTGAAATCCTCAGCATTACTTATCCTAAGAAATAGAAGATATCGTTAACTTATTTAAACCTTAATTCAGAAAAACCATTACCTGATTTGTTGATGCTTTCAGTGTTGGCAGCTCCACTGGTGTTGCTATCTTGGCTAATTTCTCGAGCCGTTCTTTTTCATGTTTCAGAGTTACGAGGCGGTGTCGCAAGATGGATTTTTCCATTTTGACCTTATAATGAAATTATTTTTCTCTACTACACGATTTAAAAGCACACTATACATCATATGTTTCACGCTGATAAAGAAGACTGTCTTCTTAAGAAAATGCTTACTTCATGTCATGAAATAAACATTAAAATAATTTTGAAATCAAGCTTAAAAACAGTTTGGAAAACTGACTGAAAATACTAACAAAATCAAACTTACAGCCACGCTATCTTTCTCGTTGCTAAAATACCCCAGTTGCTTGCAGAATTTATCAAGATCATCGTCATCTTTTTCATCATCCTCTTTTTCCTCTTTTTTATTAGAAATCGCTGCTAGCTGAGCTTCTACCTCACGCATTTCTTCACTTGTTGAAGCAATTTTTGTCGTCAAAGTTTCAAAAGTTTCTATCTCCGTTGTTACTTTACCTTTCGCTTCCTAATATTTACATAGTATAAGGTTTTTGTTTCAAAGAGCAGCAACATAGAAGATATTTAAGAATGTCGCGAACATATTCTTTTTTTTCATGAAAACAACAAATATTGGAAAAAGAAAATAGCAAAATATAATTAACCAAAGTACGCTTCCGCCGCTTTTCACGATTTTTTTCAATTTGACCTGTGCGGTCAAAATAAATGTCTTCATCGGAATCGTAATAATCATTATCTACTAGATTTTTTGCTCTCCTTCTGGCTTCATTCGACCGGAACAGAAGATTATGCATATCTGTTATAAAATAAACATAAAGAGACATATAGAAAAAGTTTCTTTAAAAAGTTCTGAACGGTTGGAAAAACTTCAATAAGATATAAAAAAAAAGATTTCTTTCCGTGATTCAAAGTTTCAAAATACCTAAAGTTTTGCAAGCATTGAAGGCACATATCATCTGAGCTTCCTTTTTGCTTCCACTGCAAACCGCTGATGCAGATAATGACTGACCAGCTGCTGTATCGACAGGTAATCTGAACAACAAATATTAAGATTTTCTCAAAATGAAGAAACCAGCCATTATTGCGCAGTTAATCAATTTGAAATTGAAGTGGATATAAACTGACTCAATGGAACATAACCATTTGTGGTTCCGCCCTGTTCCTGTTTCTTCATACGTAAATTCCATATCGAAGCCTTCTTTTTCAAAAAACCGTGATAACACTTTCAGTGGATCATCACGATATTTTTCTTCGTGATCTTGGATATCATCTCCATTCGCTTGAGCAAATCCTAGTTCTTCGTCGTAATCTAAAATGACATAATTTAAAGAGGAACAGGAACAGCACATAGCAACAACATTAATTTTCAAGTTTCTACTTAAGTGATTTCTTAAAAATCCAGCTCTGTCCTAACCATCTATTTATTTGCAATTTAAAAGAATCAAAACTAATTTCTGTTCAATATTTCAAACCTTTAGATGTGGAAAAGATATAAATCAAACTATACCAAAAAAATATCGAAGTCTTCGACATTCGGGAAAAGAAAAAAAACAAACCCATTCCCCACATAATACCATCACTCTCTTTTTCGCTTTTTGATGCCTCCTCCTTCTCTCTTTGTATTTTATCATAAAGTTTCTTCTGCTCAATCAATCGTCTCATTTCTGTTGGAGAATATTCCCATTCCTCCTCAGTATCCGAATCTGGACCAAATAAAGTCATAATTCTGCTACTTCCTTTAAAAAGGATTAATTGGAATGAAAGCGAAAGTTGGATTTATAAGTCAAACAAGTTAAACCCAGCAAATAAAATTGAATTGTAAAGTAAATAAAACCAGTTAGCATTAAAATACAGTCTGTATTTTACATTCCAAAAAGAAAACCCTAAGGACAGGTTCCAGTGATTTAAATTGCAATATTTCTGGAGTTCCCAAAGATAAAAAACAAATAAAACACACCACCAAACTGCATAATGTATCCGACGCGTATTCGGATGAACTGCTTCGGTGGAATTCTCTTTTTATTTAATCTGGTACCATGCGTGCTACCCAAATCATAAATATACCATCCTTTACCGGTTCGATTCATTAAATCATCGCCATATTGCAGAATGCAATGATGCCTACAAACTTATCAAACAATGCTAAAAATGTAAACTCGGAAAAGAACTTTCAAAATTAAGCCTTGAAAAATTCGGACCGTAAATATTTATTCTATTACGTTTTAAAGACTTGAATAATACAGAAATATAAAAATGTTTTCCTAATTCAGAGAAAACAAAGCTTTCTGACAGTGGGCATACTATTTGACAAATGCACAAATGCAACTAAGTGACTCTGCTATAAGTAGACTTATGTTTATTGAGTGAAATGAATTTCCAGGAAAATACCTTGAAATAGTGGGATGCTCCAGTTGTATATCACAAGATGGTAACCGACCGATAACTATAAATGTTTCAGCTTTCCGTTTCTCAAAATTCACGCTGTCAATTATGATGCCATTTTTGATAACTTCAAAGCCGTAATGAATGTCATCCGATGGCTCAACGGCAAATGGAGGAGGAACATATTCCAAATTAGGCTGAGTTATGGATATTACGGGCACAGTGGCGTCCATTACTATATCCTGAAGGAATAAATATATCCGAAATGTTTTCCATGTTTAGTACAAAGTTGAACGCAAAGCTAGGAACTGTCAGCTATAATAATTCATGTACTGCATGTGAAATATCAAAATATTTTAGATATTTCAGTAAGAGACATTAATACAACTAAATCGGAAATGGATTTCTTTGAAAACAGAATATTTTCGTATTATTTTAGTTAAGTTTAAGTTTGTGCAAAGAGGCATGCTACCAGCTACACAGTTATGTATTTGATGTAATGTAAGTGTGAAATTGACACCACGTAAGATTAAGTTCGTCATATCAATTCGACCCGAAACTTCTATGTCTTTCTGAGAACTAATAGTAGAATGATTACTTTCACGTCCTTTTCTTTTGACACCGGAGCTTTAAAGTCATTCGTTTCCATTTCCATTTCCAACGGAGCTTTAAAGTCATTCCTTTCCGTTTCCATTTCCAACGTATTCCTGAAATTTCGATTTTTATTACAATTTCTTATTTGATTGTATCAATTCGACTTAAATAATCCCATGTCCCTAATAAAAATCAATACTTCAAAATAAGACCAGAAACTAAGATCAGAAACTCTAACTTTGGCATGGTTATGAAATCGAAAAATTTGAATTTTAACGGCACAATATACGGCCCATAATTATTTCTCGAGCTTCTTCCTACTTCTCTGTTTGATTAACCGTTATGTACGTTACATATTATTATCAAAGACATTCATTGATAATACTACGATATTGTAAATTTTTCAGGCCGATATTCTTACAAAACTTTTAACGTCATATACCATAAATCATAAGCATAAGTTTTAACATCATGAATTTGCCGGAGAAACGTATGAAAGAAGCGGTGGATGCATTAATTGATGATATCGATCAAAGGTAATATAAACATTATTTGTATTTCATATAATATATTCAGTAAAATCATTTATATGTCGATGATTTTATTCATCTGACAAATACGTTTATATATTTACCATTAACGAAATTAATTGATACTCTCTGCACGTATGATGATGAAATGCTAAGAAATTCTCCTTTATACAAGTAAAGAATTATGTTGTCTATATAGTTTATGGAATGCTTATACGTTATAACGATAATGAAAACATCCAGACATCCGATGAAATGTCTTCATGTGATAATTGTGAGAAAAGCTTCAGCGCAATATGCATCTTTATATTAAACAAATATATATAATAGTGCTTAGGTGAGAACTCTTGAACATTTGTATGTTTTACAGAAACGTTAATACCCTTGTATGTCAAGTAAAAACGAAAGTTTTGAAAAATATTAAAACGTTTTTGTATTTAAAGAAGAATCCTTTTTATTAAAGTAGTTTGAATTCCCATCGAGTTTCTGTTGCATTTGAGGATAGTGAAGCGTTCATAATTTGTTGATAGATATCAAAAGCATGGAATTCTATTATTCATCGACTCGAGATGAACTGAAATTCAAGCTCTTTTGGATTTTAAAATAAATAAAACTGCTGTTAATTGATTGCATGCTAATTGCCAATGGTAGAATGATTTATTGATTTTCTTACAGTGTTTTCAGAATTAAAAATTTTAATCTAAAAGAAAAAAAAAACTTATTTTCAGTTATTTGAGAAGAATAAATAAGAAAATGTTCGTTTGCTCATCAGATTGCTATGATAAAAGTATGAATCGAGATATTGTGGAGACTTGTGTTGAAAGTTGCAATAAACCTGTCAAAAATGCATCTAATATTTTACAAAATGAACTTGACAATTTACAGGTAATAGTATTAAGTTATGGTATTGGTGATTTTGTACCGGTCGGATTTATGGATTTGATATGTGAATATTAGAAATTTCAACGATACCATAAGAAGATTTAACGAAAATCGGAAAAAAAATTGTTTGCAATAAAAATCTTTAAGGTAAGGGCGGAAGAAGGAAGAGGAGTAGCATTTCGTTTCATCTTAACTAATGCTAACAAACGTTGACTTCCCAACAGCCGCATACTATTGCGATTTATTGGAACTGTAAGTGGGCAATAAGCTCTGATTACTCCTAGAAAAAAGAGGTGTGGGACTGATATGGAGTTTTTAGTTTTGTTTGTCCTGGGATTATTAGATCAAAAGAATTTCAATGCATTTTAAGGCACAATTGAATCGTTGTGGAATGACATGTTTCGATAAAGCAACGCAGAAATTTGGTCCAGATCCCGTAAAATATACTGAAATCCAAAGCAAGGAATTTGATAAGCAGCTTTTAAAGTAATGGATTTCTGTTTATCTTCATTTTCTTGAACGTAGCAATTCAAATCTTTTATTGATTATTTAGTCGGCTTTTCTTACAAAATCGTTTTATTGTGCGAATTTCGAATTTTTCGGTTCTGCAATTTCCGGTTGTTCTCCAGCAAAACACTAAAATACCCATTCCAGTTGTGCATGTTCCTGTGTCGACGATCATATCAAACTGCTGCCGAATATCCGCAAACGATTAATTGATTCCTATCAAAAATTTTTAAAGTGAAATTGCTATTTTCCACTTTTGCTTGTTGTTTTATTCTTTAATTGCTCAATATGAATGCAGGGTTTTTACTTTACGAACTGCGAGGAATAATTTCCGATTAGCGAAAACTGTGGAGGTGAGGCAAATTGTGGAGGTGAGAAAATAAGGCAAATTTCGTGGTTATACATTTGCCTATAATTTAGCAATACCTCTTGATTCTGCATTTCATCAGTATCTCTTGACATCTTAAAGTTTTGAGGTTGAAATAAACGTGTGGATGGCATATTTAACAAGTTCCAAACACGGACTTAGACAGACCCGCAGGCATTTCGAATAATGAGGGTTTCAAGCTCATATAACCTATGAATATATCCAATCTGTAATCGATTCTCCTATCACCACCAAATAAAAAGCGGTACAAAAATTGACAACCAACTGTGTGTCAATTACGCCTTCATTCTCTTTACTTCCTCATCCTTCAAACGATCTTCGCACGCTTCTCAAGAAAAAATCTCTCACACGGTCGGGAGAATCTCATGGTGCTCCCTTTTTCGAGCAAAGTCATATTTTTCCGAGATCGCACGATAATGCTAGACAAAGTGAAAGATGTCGATCAAAAAATCCTACCGAACTGAATACAGTATGACGAAATTCCGGACAATATGAGACTCTGGATATCACAAGGTATTAGCCCAATGTTTTGTAGTCTAAACAGTCGTAGTTCCTGTTGTGATTTAATCTTACATGTAACACTTGTAGATCGATGGAATGACTTGGAAGACGTTTGTAGCGCATAATTTATTTGTTACCATCAAACACTTACAAAAAAACTGTGAATGAACGCGGGCGCTACATTTTTTTTAAGCCTTAATTTTTCATCAGTGACAAATACATTATTTGAACATGGCGAGGTTCACAATCAAATCGAAGAGAACAATGTAAGACAAATAGAAACTCAAGTAATCCAGAAATACTTTTAATTCAGGCGACGACTGTAAAAGGGTGAAAAAGAGAGATATAAGAATCGGAAAACTACGGATAAAGGAGTAAACAAACATACGGAAGATTGGTGATGGAATGAAAGGAAAAGGGCAAACAATAGAAATTTCTGAATTTGAAATCATACCTAATGAGACAGCGACAACTCCCACGTAAGATGCCAGGAGAAAGATCGAAAAAATTTTGTGAGTCGCATTTTCGTAAAACCATAATGCACAGACGTTGGGACTTGCGGTTCAGCAAGTGGAATAAGAAACAAAAAAGTAAAAGTAAAAAACGGTTCCTTTCCAAAAAAAAGCTCAGAATTCAACAGAAATTCAATCTTTCTTTTTTAATTTGATTCATAAAACAGTCGCTATAGTATATTTGTCAGATGTCATAGAAGTATTCCAGCCAACATAACATCCTAACAGAAAACCTCTTTTTTTGTCTGAGCGGACGAATCAACCACTTACATAGGAAGGGTAATTAAATAAAAGTGATAAAACCAATGTCTATCATTCCAAGGAATAAACGGTCTTCTACTTTAATGGTCGATTACATACCTAATTTAACACTGAACAATTAAAAAACAATGAAGTAAAAATACAAAATAAAGTTTATAAAAGACAAAATGCCGTATGATTAAGAAAACTATTTGACAAGAGCCGGGGATGGTAAACGGCTCACGGCATTCACAGCATAAAGCATAACCAAACAACCTGAAATATATAAATGCATAACATGTGATAATACAGAAAAAGCATACCATGGTAAAGGTGAAAAAGTACAAAATTAAAGATTTTTCGTGTTAAGTTCAAGCAATAAAAAACTTCTAAATTAATGTAGTTTTGCTGCAAATTTTAAGAGTATCAAATTGAATCGTAATTGAACATATAAAGCAAGGCTTTTAAAACATATATTAGTAAAATAAAGTGAAAAAACCACTCACCTGAACATGGAAGCATCCAGCCCAGGAAGAATGGTTTTTGCTTCCATACTGCTCATATTTGTTAAAACGTGATGCACTGAGGCGATCAAAAAGGCTACATGAAATAAAGGCTTTACACCTTTAAAAACGTGGTTGGGTGAATTTTTCTTAGGGTTACAACTTTTTTAAATATTATAATCGTCCTCAGGAATTGAAATGTTGTTTTAGGTAAAGACTGAGGGCAAAAAAATTTTCCATTGTATATTTTTACATATTTTTTCTTTAAGAAAAAAATTTGATATCAAAGAATAGCACCCGAAGTTATCGAATATAATAAACTAATGCGTATAATTAAAACATGATAACGAACGTGGTAATTAACAAAAATTAAACGAGTAAAAATTGTAGAATCAATAAGAAAATATTAGACAGGATAAAATTCAAAAAGTTAGAAACAAAACTATATGCACATACAACCGGTTTTTACGCTTAAAACGAGTCTGCGCAATGATTGAAATATGGACCTGAAAAACAAATATTCGCAAACTAACGAGAAATATTAGATTTCGAATCATATTAAAATGTTAAACTTCTTAAAATTAATGAATTTTTTTAAACAATAGATGGGCCCACTGAAAGTTAATTAATGGCGCTTTTTGATGGGGAGAAAATTGGCTTTTTGATGTAGCAACCTCCTTCTCTACTGGGATTCGTTACTAACAGCTTTTCATATGCAAACTCATTTTCCTAATTTTACTTTCAATTTAGGAAACATGTAGCTAGTTGCATTAACAAACACAGAAAATGAAAATAAGTGAATAAAAAGAAAGAGACTTACATATAGCAACGATAAGATGAAACACAATAAATCGAAAATAAAGAGATCAAAATAAAAACGAGAAAAACGCAGCACTTTCACAAAATCTGAAATGGATAAATTTTACATAGTGTGACTTGACTTCAAAAATTGTTCGTTAAAAGATACTCAGCAGCATTATTTTTTTTTCAACTGCCTCTCCCATTGATTTCTAAAATATTCAGATACAAATGAATAGTCGACTCAAGACTGTCTTGCTAATCAACTGATGTGTCTCTTACAAAGTACTAGTTAGCACAGAACTGCTAGCTTGTTTTTTTTGAATTTCCACAAACAAAGTTATTTAATTATTCAGATTAAAGCCCGCAATTTTATTGTTTCCCTTATAAGGACCGACAAAAGAAAAGTTACGATTTTTCAATAATATCTCTACTTACCGCCTACGCAGTCGCTTCTTTGGAAGATCCAACCATTTCGCTAACATTCTCGTCAACGATCTGATACTCGGCAACATAAAGTTTCGGATCCACCGACTGAAAACGGCAACACTGCTTAATTTACATCAGTTGAGAAAACAAATTTCTGTACAATAGTTGATTAAAAAAAAATTTTGAAGTGAGTATTTTTCAGGAAAAAAAACGAACACATTGCCTTAATCAGAAAAAGAACTTTTGGAAAAAATGTTTGGAAACATAATAAATGAACCTTCGGAATTGGAGCAATGCGAGTCCTCAGCTCAGCTTCGATACGTCGAAGAGTAAAACGATCTTCATATGTGATAAGATTGATCGCAATACCAAGATGTCCGAACCGACCCGAACTGAAAACATTATCTTTCAATTTATCTTGTCATAAGACAAGTAAAACAATTAAGTGTATAATCAAAACTGTACAATATGAAATACACTTTTTTAAAATATACCTTATCAAAAATATCTAATCTAGTAATGAATCATTAACTCTGTTACTTCAACAATTATACTCTGGGAACGGAGAATTACACTTCTGCAAGATATAATATCGAAATCCCTATGAAAAAACTAACATTTTGAAAATCAAAAACTAGCAAAATAAATACCGGCCAATACGATGCAGGTATGTTTCGGCGTTGCGCGGAAAATCAAAATTGATGACTACATTCACGGCCTGAATATCGATACCTCTAGTTAGCAAATCAGAACAGACCAAGTTACGACAAGCTCCTTTGCGAAAATCATGAAAAACCCGATTACGATGACCTTGTGCCATGCGTGAATGGATGTAATAACAGGAATAGCCTATTTCTGTGATTTTCTTTGCCAAAAGTTCCACACGTTGTGTTGAATTACAAAAAATTATGGATTGATTGATTTGAAGCTGGAACATCAAAACATTTTGAAAAACAAAGAAACAAAAAGAGATAGTAAGCCAGTGTGTCGATTCAGATCACATAAATTCTAAAATATAAAATAGTAACAACATTTATAAATATGTTGTTACTATTTTATATTATCGTTAAAATCTCGAATGCGGCTCAGACTGTAGAAAGTGCAACAAACCTTGCGAAACAATGTGTTCAAGCAATGAACTTTCTGCTTCTCTTGCACATAGGCATAATACTGTGTAACACCGACCAGTGTCAATTCTTCCATCAGGTTAATTTCGTATGGGTTTCTCATATGTTTCTGCATGAATGTTGCCACTGTCAATGGGAATGTTGCCGAGTAAAGCATAATTTGACGATCAGGCGGCAGAAATTTGATGACACGATCTAAAATACCTTGGAAATCCTGAGAAAGAAGCTTGTCAGCTTCATCCAGTACCAACGTTGTGCAATGAGACATATCAGCAACATTCTGAAATGAAAATTAACACATGCATATGCCACTTTTCAACCGTGAACACTTTAGAAAAGAATACCAAAGCTGACAAAGATACCACTCATTGAACAATGCTTATAGTGCTAAATGTTAAACTTCAACTAAACACCAAGTTGCTTAGAAAAATTATTAATGAGAACAACATGAATACTTTATCACTTTATCATCAAAAGTAAGCCCATTTCGGTAGAAGTGATGGTAATCATGTTATCGACATCTGATATCTGACAAAGCCTACAGTCAAGATCTGGTCTATAGTTAAGTGACTTCACAATCGCTTCATTGTGTTTCAGAGTTTTTAAAATGCCAAGGTTAATTGAAATTCTGAAAATTTTTTCTTGAAATTTCTTTTTTCAGTCAAAAAAGTTGTAACCATACCTTATCCATAAGATCAAGAATACGGCCAGGAGTTGCCACAATAATATGAACAGTACCA